GAGGGAGGGAGGAGGGAGGGAAGGGTGGGCCAGGGCTCAGCAGTGGAAGGAGAAGAGAAGGTTGAGGGATTGCAGGGAGTTCAAGGAAAGGGGAAGGAAGCAGAGGGAAAGGTAGGGAGAGAAGAGGGTGAAGGGGGCACAGGGTGCAGAGAAGAGCTGCTTTCCTGATTTGGTGTGGAGGACAATAGCGGGAGAGGTGTGGGCAGCTTCAGCGTGCCAGCTAGGTGCTGGCTGCGAGTCCTAGGCCTTTCCACATGGGTTTCAGCAGAGCTGCTTTGCTGCCTTGGATTATCCAAGAATGGTCTCAGAGTAGGATGAAGCAGAAAAGGCAGGAGGAGAGATGCTACCCATGGATGGCACACTGACACGCTGTTGGTTCCTCTACAGGTCTGCAGACTAAAGCAAGAGCCCCAGACAGGTGAGTGCTTGTCCTCCAAGGGGAGCACTGGTTTGGGAAACGGGAAGTGTCCTTATGAAAACAGTGGGAGGGAGCCTTTCACAGCTGCTCTTATCCTCCCCTTTCTCATCCACATCCTCCTAAGTCCCTAACAGGCTAGGTTTTTTACTTCCTGAGGCTCCAGATCCTAAAAAACAAAAAAGCCACACACAGACACACACAAATCGAAAACAGTGGACCTAGGGGTTCCAGCAGTTTCTCTGATTCTTTCCCAGAATGTCCCCCTTTTCCCTTTCTCTGGTATCCCCTTTCTCCTCTTTTCTTGGCCATTTCTCAGCTCTTCCTTCTGTTCATCGTTTTCTTTCCACCTTGGACATCGTCCTTCCCAAACATATTTCCCTTTTCCACATTTTTTACTCTTCTTGCTCACTGTCCAACCTGCCTTTTCCCCTGGTGATGTGCCCAAAGTGGCCACAGAATCNGGCCAGAATTTAGTCATATGTCCCACATCTATCTGGAGGGGAGCACACAGCCACTCCAAATAAAATCAAGGCTCTGTAAGTGAGCAAGAGGAGGTGAATGGATTTGGGGTAAGCAAATAGCATCCCATCCCATAGACACGTGCAGGACTGGTGATCTGTCAGCTGGGTGGGGCAGGACAGGGGAACTCAGGAGGTCATGGAGCTGGTGAAGGGGCACAAATGGAGTGGAGGACTCACAGACAGCCTAGATAACCTGAAAGAAAGTGGGTTATCAGGAGACAATATTTCAGGGAGGTAAAAGCATAGGTATAGGAGGAGGATGACCAAAGAGAGCTGAAGTAAAGAACATTGTAGCATGAAAATGATGCTAGCATTTAATGTTTTAGAGTTCTCATTCCCAGTGATTAAAATAAAGTCGAGGGTACGGCTGAGTGAAGTAGAGGTCACTGGAGTTGGGGCGACAAATATGTCCAGTGTGTTAGAGGATTGTCCCTGTAGATGATGAGACCTCCCAGGAGGGTGGTCAGTGGTGGAGACGATGTGTGTGAACCAGGGGCCAAATGCGTAGGATGTGGAGGGGGGATAGTGCAGGGGGATGGGGAAGAACAAGAGTCCGCAGTGGAAGAGAGGGACAAGCTGCAATGTAAACGCAGATTCCAGCCATGAGGTTCAGAGGTGGGAGAGAGAAACAGCCACCACTCAAAGGAAAG